TCTCCCCGTGCCCTAGGTGTGATTGTGAGTGTGAATGGTTTTTCGTCAATGTGTGCCCTGCGATTGGCTAGCAACAAGTTCAGGGTGTACCTAAAGACAGCTGGAATAGGCTCTAGCTTACAAAAAAAAAAACCAAAAAAAAAAACCCCAGCTAAGTGGCTTTAATGCCGAGTCTGTGGTGAGTCACCTTGTCACTTGGTTAGCCGTGGTGAAATAACTTTTTAAGTGAATCAACAAATACAATCGAAAAGCAAGAGGCACATTTATGGTATCTCACTGAGGGGCGAATGCTTGCGAATGTTTGTGAATGTAGCTCAAGACATACTGAAAAATTTTGGGCCCATTTCCAAGCTGCCTTTCATTTAAAAAAATTCGGGAAAAAGTGGCGCACATGCAGTGGAAATCTTTCTTGAATGAATATCACGTCTTGGTGGTCTTCCAGTCAGGTTTCAAGGGTTTACAGTGTGCAGACACTGAAAAATAGTCGGTGATGTCGTGTCTTCGATGCAGAATTACTTAACGAATGACCAAGGCAGAGCAATGAATGACCTGCACATTCTGCCACTGGAAAGTAACTTCGGATCCTCTCGTTTATAAATATTTGGAAATGTCCAATTACAAGACGACATGATTCATTAAAAGTGGCCATCTATTGAGAGTTTGTAAATTTTGACATATGTGTGTAGCTCATTGCTCAACACATTGTTCTGTCAATCACCCTTAGCCCTTTCATGCACCAATAATGATAACCTGTAACCTGATAACATGATAAGCTGTCAACTGTAGAAACCGCTGTCCCTGAAAGGGTTATTATGATTGCTAAATCATGCGCAATCAGCAAGAAAATTATATTTACAGCATTATTTATTTTGGCAGTTAGACTAAAATTCCAGTTTGTAAATTTGCCGTTTGTGGACAATAAACTGGCCGCTGTCTGAGAATCGGAAGGAACTGAAACAAATGGAGAAAATGTATGTTCACATTCCTACTGGTTCTTAGTCCCACTTAAAGGAGACAAGAGAGAGTGTTGAGAGGTTCATGTCTGCACAGATAAGATCATCCACGTCTCACTCCTTGCACTTGTATAATGTGCGAGTGTTCCTCTGTGACAGGTGCATGCTGCAGAAATGATAGACACTTGAATACCCAAGCGTTGTTCTGCTGACTAAAACTCTTCTCGGAGACGCTCATCACATAGCATTTTCAAGGGTTAAGACCATGTGTTCAAAAACATTATGCCAGTTGCAGTGGACAAAAGTATTCCAAGATCTAACCATTATCAACCATCCATTTTCTGAACAGCTTATCCTTCACTTGGGTCGGTGCATGCCAAAACCTATCCGGGGTGTCTTCCTCAGTAGGCGGGATATACACCCTGAACCGATCACGAGTCAATCGCAGGACCTAACCAACACATCAACAGAAAATAAGTGCAGCATGAATTTGGGATGTGCGGGATTTGGACACTGTCATGCTTCCTTCCCCGAAACGGAACCTTATAATTCTAAAATGTACCGTAGTTGTTTTGAATATAGATTATGAGGTATCTCGGTGCTTAATGCCCTGGATAAGTATTAACCGAAGTGTCTTCAGAGCAGAGGTCTGTCTGCATTTATTATACGTCTAGCTTTGTACCACTGAGTACAGCAGTGATGACAAGCAGTGGCCCATGCCTATACTAAAGTGCGTCCTCTGCAGACAAACATGAGGCAATGCAACTTCTCCGTCAATTTGCTTGGCCAAGTCACATTACAGATACTGTAACATGACAGCAATGCAAATAAGTGAAATTAGATACATGTGATGAGCAAACGCATTTTTGAATGGTAGTGGAATTGATCTCGCAGTCTCAATGTAACTGAGGGGTAAAATAACCAAATGATTAATGCATCATGAAACATGATTGATGGTGAAAGACAAAATTGTCAAGAGTATCAGTGTGTTTAATAAATAAGAAATACAATACAATCAACATATCGTGAAATCGTGATGAAAATACTAAAACGCAATACTAATCAGAATACTAGTGGGGGTGCATAGAAGATATTATTCATTTTTTCATTTATTCATTCATTTTCCAATCCGCTTTATCCTCATAAGGGTCGCGGGGGGGTGCTGGAGCCTATCCCAGCTGTCTTCGGGCAGTAGGCGGAGGACACCCTGAACCGGTTGCCAACCAATCGCAGGGCACAAAGAGACGAACAACCATCCGCACTCACACACACACCTAGGGACAATTTGGAGTGTTCAATCAGCCTGCCATGCATGTTTTTGGAATGTGGGAGGAAACCGGAGTACCCGGAGAAAACCCACACAGGCACAGGGAGATCATGCAAACTCCACACAGGAAGGCCGGAGCCTAGATCGAACCTCGACCTCTGCACTGTGAGGTCGACACTCGAATCAGTCGCCCACCAGTTCTGCACTTATTTTGCATTATGTTTCCAATTGGAAATGAGCAAATGAAATGAATTAAGATACTGGGAGTGTTGGTCCCTGACTAAAGACTGAAACTGCTTGAATGATTTTAAGCAAAATCATGTCATTATTGATGCCATACTGCTATTTGACCCCAGTTCTTTTGGGAAGAAACGCCCCATGAGCAATGGACTTTCTTTAAGTCCAGGATGTCCTTCAGAGCTATTTGTTTGGAGTGTAACTTACAATAAAGGTCAGCAGCTGTACGGCGCAACCTGTGGTGTGGAGGGACAGAGGAAGCAAGCAGGAAACTGGCAGGCATGGAAAGGAAGAACACATGGTCACAGGAGAGCTTATAGCGCAATCTTATTTTCCAAAACACCTAAAGTGCATGTGTTGTAAATATTTAAGTGTATATATGCCACCCCACCCCCATTCTGATTTCACCCTCATTAAAACCCATCACAATGTATACATCCCAAATAAACACTAAACACAGTTTCGAAAGGATAACATATTAACACTGCCAGCCCTTCTGGTGAAAATGCACATTTGACATATGGAGCTGGCAGTGGCAGTGAATGAGATAAGGGGGAGCAAATCCAAACCTATTTGTGAAAAAAGTAATCCATCCATCCATTATCAGTGCCGGAGCCTATCCCAGCAGTCTTCGGGCAGTCGGCGGGGGACACCCTGAACTGGTTGCCAGCCAATCGCAGAAAAAGTCATTGTCCCCCTTGTGAAATCATGAGCAAACTGTGGTTACTCAGAGGTTTTTGGAAAGCTGTGTTCAATGTTCACTGGACACCCGATTTGATGAATCAAGAAATCACTTTAGGTACCAGTCAGGCAAAGAGAAATAGAGCTACAAAAGAAAAATAAATAAATGTGCCAATGAAATTCAAGAACAAAAGAGAAATGCGAAGTGATCAAAATCTATGTCAATCGGGAAAATGTTACAAAGCCGTTTCCAAGGCTTTGGGAGATCCACAAACTACAGTAAGAAATATAATCCACAAATGAAGAAAACAGGAACATTGGTGAACTTTCCCAGGATTGGTTGGCCAATCAAAATTAGGCGTCCAACGACCCAGCAAGGAGGTCATAAAAGAACTCAGCCAGAAAAAGGTACAACAGAACCATATCGAAAGACAGGCATAACTGACTCAACCATCGGAAAGACACTGGGCAAAATAGACATGAATGGGAGAGTTCAAAGGCAAAAACCACGGCTGACAAAGGCTCACCTCCCTTTTAGAAAGAATCATCTAATTGGTCCCCAAAACATTTGGACAAAGTATTTTGTGAACTGATGAGAGAAGTTTTGTGAGTGAGCGCCTGAACCATCATGAAACTTGATGATGCACAGCTCTTTTTGCAGTGACCCCCTTGGCCCCACCCACAGGTGGTGCACCAGTGAGAAGATGGGACCCACATTCACTTTTATAACTATAAAAGCATTTTCCTCCCATCTGTCATCTTACCACTGTATATACTATACACCCCTAACGTCCATCCGATCCTTTCCATTGTTTAACTTTGTTCCTGCAGCTCTGGGACATTTCCGATGCTACTGCTGTGAGTGGGCTTTTTGTGTGTGTGTGTGTGTGTGTGAATGAGGGACAGAGTGTGTGCAAGTGTGTGTGTGCCCCAACCCACTTCTTGTTTTTGGTGAAGTAATAAGGAAACTCATAGTCAGGGCTTTTGTAAAGACACACTATAGCCACACTTCCAATTGGCCAATCCATTTCAAGAAGAATAGAAGGAAATAGAAAGTGGTTGTGTAAGCTGGTCAGGGTCTGCTACTTCACAAATGCAGCAGTTCCACAACTGCCATTCAGCCACAATATTTGTTTGTATTCACACTTTTCAAATCACTCACATAGAGGCTGATACAGTTTGACAGAATGCCTAACGTGATACAAGTTTTCAGTCAAATATTCAAATACTTCATGTCAAAAGTCTTCAAGACATCAAGTAACCACACTGTACTGTATCTCAAACAGTTTTGCTCTTTCTCAATACATGACTTCCTTGATTACACTGACTGCACACATTATATTGCTCACCTTTTATGCCAAAAAAATCCCATTAATCTACATTTGATAAATCTGAACCATTGTTTATTGATGACGCAGATTTTTAGAAAATTATATTTGTGATAACATTATTTTTGTTCTCCATGAATTTTCAAAGGTACTTACATTTATATAATAATATAGTAAGACACATTATTTATGAATTACTAATTAAGCCAAATGATTTTTTTTTTTTGTTTATGGAATTTTCCTTTACCAAAAATGTCTTGATACAAAGTTGCGGAATGTTATTCTTGATTTATTTGTGACTTCTAAAAGAAGACCAGGGTGGAGACTCAAATCTTGGTAAAATAACCCCCCCGCCCCCTCCAAAAAAATTCTGTTCAAAATTCCTCAGTTCTTTTCAAAATGGAAAAAAAAAATGTTTACAGTTCATCGAAATAGAAATAGTCTACATGAAAGCACTTTATGATACTGGGTGAAACAAATACAGTCCTGGAGATGGTGGCCTAATAAATTTGTGACCCACTGTAAATGCTACCTTCCAGTGAAAAGTTTGATGAAATATACATTATTACTTGTGAAGTTTTATTGAACTCAAAGTTCAGTGAATCACAAGGTTTCTCTTTCCTGTTGGTAATTTTCTGCTGACTTTGGCAGGTGACCTAGAGTTCACCACCACATTCAAACTCAAACACACTTCCTGTGGTGCTGACATTTTGTAGTTGCACGCTAAGAGAGTTTGAATTAAGAAATGGACAGTAAAAGGGTCCATGCTGCTTTACCCGACCCTCCTTATCAAAGAAGGGATAATAATGAAGAAGAGGAAAAGGTTTTTGGGAATATTTTTGCAGAACTGGAATCTGTGGATCTTCCTCTGGGAACCACATTAAGGTAACCCTAATGCAACATGGCGACACAATCTGCCAAGTATTATACATAGGAACAACGAGCTCATTTGTGTATTAGGGACATATGGGACATTTTTTGAAAAACTCTATGCAGAATCGTATTGGTAATATTAACACAAGGTGGTATTGATAATACAGCTGAAAGTGGCCCTTTTGCTCAGACAATCAAGAAAGAAATTTGATTATAATCATTAAAAAAAACTCAAATCAATTAAATCAATCAATGTTTTGTTTGGTGCCAATTTTTATTTTCCAAGTATTTTAAAATGAGAACGTTCAAACCGATGTTTTTAAACTTCAAAACTGCTTGCTTTTGCAGCTGATGTGTAAACACCAATACTGTACAATCAACAGTAATACAATGATTTCAATTCTTTTTTGTGCATTTTTGACATCATCAACGGTAACGGTCAATATCCTGATTTCATTTGTTAAGCACAAGTAAGGTATACATGTGAAAGATATGTGATGTGAATCTGCAGCAACACATGGGTGGATGTTGCTTTAAGATTTTATCGATTCATACTTGATGATGTGTGCACAACATAATTATTACAAAATAGATAGAAACACTGTAAAGCACATAAACAAATTTATCCTGGGGGGTACAATAAATGTTAAATATGTTATAAAATGGACAAAATTATTATGCTCAATACAGTACTGTGAAGCCTAGGGTAACCAACACTTTTGAAGTTGAGAGTTATTTATTTGGCACGGATTAATGCTCAGTGCTACCATTTTGATAAACATTTCTGAAAAAGCAAATTTACTCAAAATATCTTTAACTATATATTATTGAGTCATAATATACAGCTATGTGACAACACTGTCAACAATAATTTTAAAAGGCACAGGAGAGATAAATATCAACATACAACAATGTATTTCTGTAAAGCTCTGCAAGTGTTTACATTTTTAAACAATCACCATTTCAACACTGCGAGGAAATCACAATGTTCCATCGCTGACGCGGTCGAGGTGTCCCTTGTGTAGACAATATTTTATTTCCGGGTAGACTCGGTTGTTCCTGAATTAAATATGGATCTCGTGCGCCCCCCACTGGTCAGTACTTCCCAGTTCCCCCCTACAGCCGCAGCTATAGACAGCCATAATAATGCACACGTAATCATGGCGGAGAATGAAACGTTGGAGTGTATAACGGAGCACGAGCGGATTCTACAGGAAATTGAGAGTACGGATACGGCTTGCGTCGGTCCCACGCTTCGGTAAGAAGATGCGTTTTTTTCGGAAGCCAGTGCAAATTAGCAGTGCTGGTGAATGTATTTCTTTCGTCTATTCTACCTTTTGTTCGAAAGCTAGTTTATCATGAGCTATCTTAGCAACCGGTAGGCTATGTTAGCAATTTTAGCTAAACGGCTGCATATTCTTGTAACTTAATATTTGCTGGTGAATTAGCGAGCACGATAACCTCCACCAGCGGTTAGGTTTAATAGCTGCGTATTTAGTGTACCGCCGACGTAGTCATTTGCAGAATTTGATAATTGACCGGTGACCTGTCAAAATGTAAACATGAATTGTGGGTGTGGCTATCGGTCTTCTCGTCTCGTTACTGTTGTCAGCTAACGGTTTGAACGCCTACCTACTTAATATCACTCAGAGAAAACCCAAGGAGATACAAAATGCAATTTTCACATGACAATAAAAAATTTTAAGGAAAAAAAAAATCCAAACATTTCTGACCCTCTGAAAAAGTAATTGCCCACTCTTGTTTAATCGCAAAGGCCCTGTGACAAACCACACATTTTCGAAATATGAGTTCAATTTCACAAGCCACACATAAAACTGAGTACCACCATACTTGTTGAAAAAAAAAAATCACTCAAATAAAATCTGCCAGTAAACGTGAAGTAGGCTACAAGATTCAATGCATCGTGCCACGAGCCAAAGAAATTGAAGAAGAAATTACAAAATTATTTCCAAGGTCAGCGAACCCCTGTCAGAGCCAAATCTTCTCAGGAGTGGATGACCAACTAAAATTACTCCCAAAAGTGTGACGACGACACACCCAGTAGGTCACAAAAGTACCTCGAACAACATCGAAAGACCTGCAGGCCTTGCTGGCCTCAGTTCAGGTCAGTGTTCATGACTCTACCATAAGAAAGACACTGGCCAAAAATTGTATCCTTGGGAGAGTTTCCAGGTGAAAACCCATGCTGTCAGCAAAGAATACAAAGGCTCGTGTCACATTTGCCAAAAAACATCCTCAAGACTTTTGGGGAAACATTCGGTGGACCTACGAGTCAAAAATTGACCTTTTTGGATGATGTGGGGACCGTTACATCTGGCGTAAAAATGGCACGCATTCGATAAAAAGAACAGGATGCCAACAGTGAAGCATGGTGGTGGCAGTCTGATGGGCTTGGACTGCTTTCTCTGCCTCAGGACCAGGAGAACCTGCTGTGATTGATGGAATGATAAATTCTGCTGTGTACCAGAAAATCCTGAAGGAGAGAGAACGTCGAGCCATCTGTTCGTGCCCTCAAACTTAAGCGCTCTTGGATCATGTAGCAGGACAACCCTCTGAAACACACCCTCAAGTCCACCTCTGAGTGGCTCAAAAAAACAGAAAAAAAACTTAAGGTTTTAGAGTGGCCAAATCTTCCAATATGATGGAGTTGAAACACTTCTGCATAGAAGAGCGGGGCCAAAATTCCTCCACAGCGTGAAAAACTCATCACCAATTATTGCAAACGCTTGTTTTCGGTTATTGCTGTCAAGGGTGGCGCAACCCGTTACTCGGCTCAGGGGTCAGTTACTTTTTTCACAGAGGGTCAGAAAAGGATGGATTTGTTTTTTTTTTGTTTTTTTTTAATGCCTTAAATTGAACTGTCATTTGAAAACTGCATTTTGTATTTCCTTGGGTTGGCTCTGAGTGATATTAGAATTGGTTTGAGGATTTGAAACCTTTGTATGTGATAGATATAAAAAATAAAAAAAATTATCAGGAGGGGGCAAATACCTTTTCTTTAGCTTGCGGACTTTACCTGCAAAATATTAGAACAGCAGTAAAATGAAAATGACAGAGATACTGATTGTTGTTTTTGTGAAGGATCAATAATATTTTTCATTGATTTCGGAATTGCCCATTATCAAATAAACAGCTGTGAAAGAACCGTTAGTTAATTTATTTATTTATTTATTTATTTATTTATTTTTTTGCAAATTTGGTATGGTGTTTGGTAACACTGAAGCAATCAGGTGAAATTTACAAAACAAGGTACAATTGTAGAAAATGACACTTCCCCAAAGCTTGGAGGTGGAATTGATTTGTATATGTTGTGATAACTTGACTCATCCCAAACCTTTTCATCTTCTATAGTATAAGTGCCGGGAAGTCCTGGAAAAGTCCTGAAAAGAAGAAAATAATTTCAAGAAAAGAGTGGGAACCGTGCTAATGTTGATACCCACATGGTGTTCATTATGGGCAAACCATGCTGAGCACAGAAATCCAACAGTGGAACACCGCTCAGCTTCTGATTGGGGACGTCTCTAGATTCAGTCACCGTTTCATGAAGTTTTTCCTCCAAAAATTTGAGGCGGCCACTTTTAAGCCTCGAAGTACCTTGAAATAAAAGCCAAAACGCTGATCTCTCGTGTCATAGTCAATATTGGTCGAACCCGAATGGTTCACATTCTACAACAGCAAAAACGATACTGCTGACCTCCCTGTTCCCAAGATTTTGCAGCAGGTTGTACGAAATCTATTACATTTGAATAAAATAAAGACAACACAAAACATCCTGGTTGCGTTGTCAACACACAACCAAAAGATTCTTGTAAACTTAACACACGCTTTTTTTTTCTCCATTATTTTTTTTAATGCAAATCATTTTTGTACTACCACATTATTTAAATTATTGCATCTACTCACCGTTCCCTTTTCCCCTATTCTGCTAATTGCATTTCTTGAAACATGGAACGTAAATACAGCATCTCTCTATGGTTTAATTTTGTTGTCTACCTCTTTAATACAAGTACCCTAAAAAATCCACTATTTATATTTCCTAAGTACAGTATTAATAAAAGGTCTGGATATATTTTCTTCAGATATTAAAAAAAATACTCTTTCAAAACATGAACATGAAAGTATGTGTCATAATTTTGGTTCAGGATACTGCCCAGTGCATAGTGTCAGGATGTGGCCTGGAGACTTCTCAAAATGTCTTTGCACCTTCTTGGTTGCCACACTCTTTTACTTTTTAATATGATGGATGGGGTGCTGTCGAAAGAGAAATATTTTTGGGGGGAGATAATAGATTCCAGGCACAGCTCAGTTTCGACAAATGTAGCATTTCATTTCACCGCCAATAGATGGAGCTGTAACTGTAGAAATCAACGTGAGGCCTCCTATCTTAAATTTGAGGTACTTGTCAATCCTCGTCTTGCTTTTTCAAAACCTGCCTACATTTACAACCTATCAACATAACCTCTCAGTCTTTTTGCGTCCATCATTTATCATGGTTTTAAATGTGAGACGCTTGTATTATTTATCTGAATTGTAGGGGAGGGCACTTACCTTTGTGTCTACTATAGTGGATATGTGATAACTTTATCAGTTTGAACACTATCTTGTCTTTGTGGTGTTTTTACTTAAATATAGGAAGCACATAATTTGCAAATCATTGTATTCTGTTTTTATTTATGTTTAACACCATGTCCAAACTTCACTGGAAATGGGATTGTAGCAGGTATGAATCGCGTGTTGTGTTTAAAAAAAAAAAAGGTTGAAAAATATAGTATTACATTCATCCAACAATTTTCTGATCGATCCGCTTATCCTCATAAGGGTCGCGCCGCATGCTGGAGCCTACCCCAGCTGTCTTCCAGCAGAAGGCGGGGTACACCCTCAACTGGTTGCCAGCCAGTCGCAGGGCACACATAGACGAACAACCATCCACGCTCGCACTCACACCTAGGGACAATTTTGAAGTGTTCAATTAACCTGCCACGCATGTTTTTGGAATGTGAGAGGAAACTGGAGTACCCAGAGAAAACCCACGGAGGCACGGGGAGAACATGCAAACTCCACACAGGGAGGCCGGACTTGGAATTGAACCCTGCACCTCTGTACTGTGCGGCCGACGCGCTAACCAGTCGACCACCGGGTCGCCCGATAGTATTATAAAAATATATAAATCAGACATAAACATGACACACTGCACTGGATTTATTTTTCTGGAGTCTTTATGTTTAGTTGATGAATAAGATTATCTATACACATGCAAATAGGGACACACCTGTTCATATTAACTGTGTTTTTTTTTTTTAATGTGAATCATTTGAATAATGTCATGCTCATACATACAATTATTTGAACATATTTAAAGAGGAGCGCTATTTTTGTTTTTGTTTTTATTTGGGATATGACCATTAACAACCTAATTGTGTATTAATACAATAAAATTATTTCAAACAATTTGTAGAGAACAAGTGGTAGGAGTAGATCTTTTTTTCTATTTCTTCCTACGCCCTCTGAACATAAAAACATTTTAAAAAGAACATCAATTCGCAGTTCAGTGCAGTTTATATGTCTTTTATTGTTAGGTTTATGTGTTCAATAAATCAACTAGTCAACTGCTATAGTCATACAAACTGGATACGGTATGTCTCAATTGACCGTCATCTGCTCCCTGGGTGTGACCCGTTGTCACGATGCCCACGAAAAGCACCACGAGAGCAGTTTCGTCCACAGTGTGTATTCTGTCTTTTAGGTTTTGCTTCGTCTTCGTCAAGCATTGCTTAGCGAAATGGTTTGACAATTATTGCACGTCCTACCACAAGTTGGACATTGTTGTTTTGCATGTTTTGTGCCACATCTTTTGCAATGAAAGGTCTGTTCTTTTTTTGTTTTTTTTTATCCTTTGTTTTGCGCCATTGTGTCCCCCAATATCGCTTCAATAATTGTCTGTATAATTATCATTTTCTGTGCCAGATCCATTTACGATGACCAGCCAAACGCCCACGTGCGCTTCATGGAGAAGCTGGATGCCAGGATAAGAAATCATGACCGTGAGATTGAGAAGATGTGCAATTTCCACCACCAAGGGTTTGTCGACGCTATCACAGAGCTCCTCAAAGTCCGGACTGATGCAGAAAAACTTATGGTAAGTAATGGTGTTGTGTTTATCTCTCGACCAAAGACGTTGCAATATCATTCTCTATACGCGGGGTACGACAAACATCTGGGATGCAACGATTTTAAAATGTTACCATTCGATTCGATTTCGTATGTCTGTCGTCCATGTCCATCCATCCATCCATACATTCTCTTCCACATATCCAAGGTCGGGTTGCGGGGACAGCATCTTAAGCAGGGAAACCCAGACTTCCCTCTCCCCAGCCACATCGTACAACTCCTCTCAGCGGGACACGGAGGCGTCTAGGTAGCGTCTTGAGAAAATGCCCGAGCTACTTCATCTGGCTCTTCTCAGTACGGAGGAGCAGCGGCTCAACTCTGAACCTCTCCCGGATGACTGAGCTTCTTACCTTATCTCAACGGGAGAGTCTAGACACCCTGCAGATAGCGCTTTTTTTTTTTTTTTAACTTGATCAAGTCCGTGATGTAAAGGTCAATACCCCATGACATTATTGGGAGTGAGGGGCAGGGTCGGGGGGATAATCCATCCATCCATCCATCCATCCATTTGCTCATCCTCTTATCCTCACGAAGGTCAACCATAAAACAAATTCACAATGTGAGCTTAATTTTTGAATGTACTGGTGTCATCACGTCGACCTCACAGTGCAGAGGTATGGGGTTCAATTCCAGGTCTGGCCTTCCTCTGTGGAGTTTGCATGTTCTCCCCGTACCTGCGTGGGTTTTCTCCGGGTACTCCGGTTTCCTCCCACCTTCCAAAAACATGCATGGCAGGCTGATTGAGCACTCTAAACTGTCCCTTGGTGTGAGTGTGAGCATGGATGGTTGTATGTCTATGTGTGCCCCCGCCGACAGCTGGAATAGGCTCCAGCATGCCACGCGACCCTTGTGAGGATAAAACGGATCAGAAAATGGATGGATGGATGAATGCGGTGCCAGTCAATACTCTATGGCAGAGGTCGGGAACCTTTTTGACTAAGAGAGCCATAAAAGCAAAATATTTGGAAATGTATTTCAGTGAGACACACACACACACACACACACACACACACACACACACACACACACACACATCAAACGAAGGTCAACCATAAAACAAATTCACAATGTTAGCTTACTTAATTTTTGAATGTATTGGTGTCATATAGGCCCCAAAAAAAGCTAACCCCCCAGGTTTTTTATTTTACTGGCACATGCGGCGCCAGGCCCGGTGATCGTTTGGTTATCACGTCGACCTCACAGTGCAGAGCTACGGGCTCAATTCCAACTCCGGACTTCCTCTGTGGAGTTTGCATGTTCTCCCCGTACCTGCGTGGGTTGTTTCCGGGTACTCCGGTTTCCTCCCACATTCCAAAAACATGCATGGCAGGCTGATTGAGCACTCTAAACTGTCCCTTGGTGTGAGTGTGAGCGTGGATGGTTGTATGTCTATGTGTGCCCCGCCGACTGCCCGAAGACAGCTGGAATAGGCTCCAGCATGCCACGCGACCCTTGTGAGGATAAAACGGATCAGAAAATGGATGGATGGATGAATGCGGTGCCAGTCAATACTCTATGGCAGAGGTCGGGAACCTTTTTGACTAAGAGAGCCATAAAAGCAAAATATTTGGAAATGTATTTCAGTGACACACACACACCCACACACGCACACACACACACATCCAAAACATATTTTTGTTTTTTCGTTTTTTTTTTTTTTTTTTGGTGAAAAGTGAAAAGAGTTTTGAAATCATTCATTTTGGTGATTACTTTTTTCTTTCTGAAGCCCCGCCATTTCAAGGGAGATGTAGCGTTTTAATAGCCACTGTGCATTTACAGGAATGTCTTAAACTCATTGAAGTAAAAATGTAACAGATTTTTAGCAGATGGGCAGTAACCATAACTGTCATTTAGAACCGTCTTTCAGTGTGACTTGGGAAAAAAATTATTATATAGTTTGCCATGCTCGTCAGGAAACTTCCTTGTTGAAAGGATTGCATAAAAAGCCGAGTGGTCAATTGGGTCATGGCTCTGAGCTGTGTGACAGGAGCAGATAGTTCAAAAATCCCCATCCAGAATCGAGAAGTTTGTCACTGAATCTGTGAGAAAGAGCCTGTCACAAGCCATTAAACTCCATGAAAGGCCCAGTGGACCGATGATGGGTTCAGGTCCCTGCTGCCTGGTTAATCTGAATTTGCCCGCTTTTGTCCTTGGCCCTTCATGGACAATGAGCTGATTACAAGGTTGAGCAGCTGCAGAAAGTGTGTTGGAGAGGGCATGGCGGGGGCTGGGGGGGGAGGGGGGGTGGGGGGCAGATGCAGAGAAGACAAATTGATTGTGTATACCTAAACCTGTTGAAGATGTCAAAGGGTCAAACACTTCTATGTACCATTCACCTTTCAAATAGTTACGCGCAAATCAGAAGGTTGTAAAGAAATGACAGGTTTGCTAACATATCAAGTTTATTTACAGTATAATGGAAAAACTGATCGATCATGTTTTCTTTGTGTAAATTTGGAAAGAAAGACTTTGGTCACGCTGTCATTGTGGGCTGCTTTGTGGAGAATTTTGAAGGAAAAGTATTTTTACACTTTATGGAGAGAAAGTGAAGCACTGTGACTCATTTCAGAATGCATTCATACCTGTATGCTTCAACAAAGCAAACTTCAGTCTGGTTCAATTCGGAGACATCATCTGTATGTCGGAGACATCTTGTGTATTTTAAAAAAATATACGATGAATTATAGGAATTAATCTTTGGTCATTTTGGCTAGAGTTGAACATCTTGTGATTTATTTATTATTCCCCCCCCCAACCCTCAGGGTCAAGTGACAGACACTAATCGACGACTACAAGAAGCTGGGCGGGAGGTAAGGCCAGCTCATCTGCCGTGCACCTTATTCAATTTTTTTTTAAAAATTTTCAGCACTTTAACATCTGTCAGACTAAATAAACCTTAATACCAGTTACACAGTGTTCTCGGTGCGCGCCAAGTCTTACGACATCACACACCCGACTCTTCTTCTTCCACATAGCATCAAAACAGCTTCTGTTGTAAATTATAATTACGTTCATTCACATATGTCATCGATGTATCTTCGATATTTTTTTTTCTTTCTATACAAAAGCAACACGAGGTTATCCCATAAATGGGTGTTCAGTGGCATGCTTTAAATACTTGCTGCATTTTCTTGAGGTTCTCAAAAACAAAAGCCCTTTTGTGAACATGTCAAGTTTATCGGTTTGATAGTAATGTACTGGTTAAAAATAGAAGAGAAATTCATGAAAAAAGTTCATAAACAGTAAAAAGTTAATGAAATGTAAAAACATAGAGTAGGTCAAAATGCATGCCCACCCGCCACCCCAAATTAACCTCATCCTAAACTTGC